TTAGCCGAAAGCTGGCCCTAAAATAAAGTCTGTGAGTTGGCAGCGGGTGTGGAGTGGTAATTCATGAAGCGGTGTCCTGAGGATATGGGGTCTGCCCCCAACTTCCTTGTCACTGCCTCACTTTAATCCTCACCTGAGGATATTTTTCCCCCCATTGATTTTTAGAGAGAGAGGGAAAGACAGAGAGAAACACGGATGTGAGAGGAACACATTGATTGGTTGCCTCCTGCACGAGCCCTGACCAGGGCCCCAGGCCGGGGAGGAGCCTGCAATCTAGGTACATGCCCTTAGCCAGAATCGAACCCAGGACCCTTCAGTTCACAGGCCGACGCTCTATCCACTGAGCCAAAGCCGCTAGGGCATCACGGCCTCACTTTAAAGACCTTTCGGTCAAGGCCTCTGTCTCCTCAACCCCCACTGACTCATCCCACCAACCCATTCTACAGGCAGGGAAAACTGATGCTGCCTTCAGAGCCTCTCATTCAGGCTTCTAGGGTCCCTTCTCCTGTTGGATTTACCTGGTCCACTCAAGGCCTATCCGTGTCCAAATGACCCCTGATCCTTCACAGCGGTCAGGCCAATTGTCAGAACCTCACGCTTTCCTCCAACAGGACAGTTTTAGAGTTTCTTTCTTTCTTGGTGCGGAATAAAAGTTGAGACAGGGAAGGGTGGTAGACACCTGACTCGGACTCCCCACCAGGGCTGAATTCTCTACCATCCTGACCTCCCATCATTCATCCTTACTTGTGTTCCGACTGTGATGGGTAGGTCAAAACGGAGCATTCTTGCCCTAGCCAGCTTAGCTCAGTGGCTAGAGCCTTGGCCCATGGACTGAAGGGTCCCGGGTTCGATTCTGGTCAGGGCATGTGCCTCACTTGCAGGCTCAATCCCCATGCGGGAGGCAACCAATCTATGTGTATGTCTCACATCCATGTTTCTCTGTGTCTCTCGCTCTCCACTCTCTCTGAAAATCAATGGGAAAATATCCTCGAGTGAGGATTAACAAAAAACAAACAAAACACAGAGCATTCTTGCCCCATCTGACCTAGTAAACTGCCCATTCGAGTCCTCGCGCCCAGTTAGTCGCTTACATGTTCCAGTTTTTATGCTCCGCCACCCACTGCTTGATATATTTCCTCCTTGTCACTCTCCCCATAATGAGCAAGGTGATGTCCTCTGAGATCATAGAGCAACAACTTAGAAGCTAAAGGCCTCCCTCCAATGTTCAAATCCACCAGAGTTGATCTGACAAGTTGTGTATTAGAGGTCTTAAACAGTAGGCACTCAGAAAATATAGGCTATCATCATCATCCACCCTGGAGTTCGCAGGAGAACTCCTATTCATCCTTCAAAACCCCATCCGGTTTTACCACCTGTCTTGTACAGATTGAGCTGACTTTGTGACGACTTAACAAGTTCCCACCATGAGGCCCAGAGCAGCCCCTGAGGTCCCTCAGCATCCAGCTCTCGTCTTCCTCTGCTTGCCCAGTTCCTGCGCAGAGGCCTCAGGCCCGGCCGGTCCGGCTGAGGAGTGTGCAGACGCAGGCAGTGTCGATTCGAATCCATCGCCAGCCCACACGGCCCTGAGCGTCAGTGGTCAATGCCCGCACGTAGGACTGTTTGGCCTTACACTCGGACACCCAGTGTCTCCGGTCCACGCCCCGGCAGCCCCCTCCGCCTGCACCAGGGCCATCTTCCCCAGTGTTGTCAGCCTTGCAGCGGGTCTCAAAGAAGTACTGGCGAAGAGGACTGCCGCCAGCTGCAGGCACCTCGCCCAGAACCTCCACCTCACGCCCACGCAAGTCCACAGCTGTCCGCCGGTCCGTCACCCAGCTGCTCACTGCATCGCACACAGCCAGCTCTCCCCGGCGACTTGCTGGTGCTGTCTCGCTCACTCCTCGCCGGCTGCGGTTAGCCGGGCTGCCCGGTGGCTCCCCAAAGGCCCCAGTCTCCAGGAGGAAGAGCAGAGGGGGGCCTGCGGGGGCACCCCTGGAGAGCACCACTCGTGGGGACAGCAGGTCCCACTCAGGGGCTGGAAATGGGGGCAGTGGAGAGGGTGGGGGGTGGGGTTCCACTGGGACACTGGGGAGGAGGCAAAGGAGGAGGATGGGGAGGGACCATGAAGGGTGGGGCAGCATCTCGCTGAGCACCTGAGGATGGAGAAGAAGGCTGGAGTTAGATAAGAGGGTCATAATTTAGGGGGGACCTGCAAGCCAGAACCATAGGGAGGCCCTTGTTCTAGAACCTCAGGGAACCTATATTCTAGGATTGAATAATGCCCAACTTCCAGATGATCCTACTACTATCTCTCTATATATAAAAGCCTAAGGCAACGCTTCCACCATTTGACCAGTAGCTATGACATGCACTGACCACCAGGGGGCAGACACTCAATGCACAGGCATGGAAACATGGAACAGACTGATGAATCTCAGAGGGAAGGGGGGAGGGGGAGGGCCGGAAGAGATTAACCAAAGATCTTATATGCATACTGGAGGCCCTGTGCACAGATTCCTGCACCAGTGGGGTCCCTCGGCCCGGCCTGCGGGGATTGGGCTGTAACTGGCTCTCCCACATCCCCCGAGGGGTCCCGGATTGCAAGAGGGTGCAGGCCAGGCTGAGGGACCCCAATGATGCAAGAATCTGTGCACAGGGCCTCTAGTTACTAATAATAGCCAACAATTGGGGAAATAGAGGCTTAGAGAGGTTAGTAACTTGTACCAGGTCACGCAGCCAGCAAATGCCAGCGTTGGCACTGGAACCCTGTCTGAGCAACCCCACTCGGCCATACTGCCTCTACAAGCCCAAGGAACCCTACGTCCTGCAGCCTGGAGGAGGTTTGAGGTCCCAAACTTTGAGAAAGGCCAGTTCCGGAATCCTAGGGAGATGCAACTTGAGCTCAAAACGGCCACTAAAAAGGCAAGAAAATCACTTGCCTCTCAGACGGGGCCTCAGTTTCCCTGTCTGTGAAACTGATCTGGGGCTGGGAGATGCAGGCCACGGTGCGGATACCGCCCTTTCTGTACCACATTCTGGGGGCCTGTGATTCTGGGAAAGGGTGAGGTGGAGAGGACAGGGGTGGTTACCAGACCTGTCAGCACCTCCTCCGCCTCCGAGCTCCCGGGCTGGGGGCCCCCAGGCTCCAGGGGGCCCCTGTGGGGGACGCAGGCGGCCCCCTCCTTCCTGACATCTCAGGAGAGGAAGGGGGCAACCACCTAGAGGAAGAGGGGAACAGGCATGTCATCTAGGCAGGTGGGGGAGGGGGCCCGAACCCCGAACTCTCCCCTTCCCAGTGTTCCTCTCCAAGTGTAGGGTACCCAAGAGCCAAGGCCACGCCCCCTTTCAG